CTTGGTGTCTGCTTCGAATACCCTAGCAGTGGGTATTATAACTTTGTCATGACTTGAAAGAATCAGATGTCTGCTGCCCCATAAAGTATATATGTAAATATATATTCTTGATCAGTATCAAAAATCGCTGCCTGTCTCTATGACCTATCTTCTTACAGGCTTACAAATGTCTTGCATATAGGATCAGGGCGAACATTTCCTTTTACATAACACTTGTGTTTATTCAAGATATCTTCAACAAATTCAAATACAAGCTCTTCCATTCGACTCAGCTGTCTGGTAGAGTATTTAAGCTTCGGTTTGCCTTGCTTTCTTCTTTTATGGCCTGTTGCTGCTTTTGGCCTTTGTCTCGTGTGACGCAAACTCGTGTCAAATGCAGCCGTTTGGCCTGAACCAAGAAAAAAAAAGAGAGAAAAAATAATAAAGTATTTATAAACAATATAATATGCTCGCTTTTGAGCTGCGTCTATTTCCGCCCCTTTTGGACCAGGCCAAGACAATAAAACGCTGAAAGCACGCAACAAGGTCAGGGCAAACGTTGAGGCTGAGCCAAAAGATTTCGTAATGGACTGGGAACTGGCAAACACAAGAGTCGGAGAGTGTGTGTATGTATGTATGTGGGGGCCTTGAGACTGTGTGACACGCCCAACAATGGGCAACATTTTAATTTAATCGCATTCGATTCTGGAGCAGCAGCCCCCACACTTTGTGCGATCCGCTTAAATGGCAGGCTACGCGAATTTATAGATCCAGAGATCGTGTCCAGATAATTCAAGGCATTCGGCCAAGTGATCGAGAGTCTGCTCTCTGATGTTTTATCTTTTGACCAATTGTGAAAGTAATTTAATGCGGATTCGGTTCAGCATCCAGTGCTTCTGCTTCTTCTTCTTCTACATTTTTCAATTACCAAGAATTGCATGTTTCGTTTTAATTTCCACGTAGTTCAATTGCCCGCCCGAGCCGAATGTCGGCGTGTCGTAGTGCACTTCTTCTGGGAAACTGGTTGGGATACAACAACTCAACTACAACAAAAGCAACAACTATATAAACTGGTGTGTGTGTGTGTGTGTGTCTCGGTGTGTGCCTAAATGCTTTTGAACCAGTTCTGTGGAAACTGCGTGTCTAAAAATTTAATGAAATCGCAGACATACAGCTTCTATAGGAAAGAAAGCAACATTGAAATGCATTCGTTATACAGCACTGCACTCTGCGGAGTGCCCCTGCCAATCAGCTTTGGTGGTGCGGATAATTGAGATATTATTAGCCAAGTGGCACGGCATTGGCATTTGAATTAAACGTGCCGCAATTGCTGAAATGTTGCCTAATGAGCTGTATATTGCATTGCCTAACACAAAAGAGATACGAATCAAGCAGCCAAGCCAATTTCGAGTGCAATCGGTATCATGTAGCGCTTGCGGATAAGTAATTTAGTCTTGCGGATAAATCGGATACTATATCAATTGGGGTAAATAGAGTGGAAATGGGCATATAACTAATGCTTTAATAGAAAGGGGTGGAGAATAATGCAAAATGTTGTGTTCAATTGGTAAGAAAGTTATTTTGAATTTTTGGATAAATTCGGATAAAGTCGGATAAGTCTGGATAAGTCGGATAAATCTGAAAATTTGTAAAAAGTGGCCAGAACATCAAAATTGACATTAATTTGTAACCTAGTTTATCTCCGCGCTGTGCTAATAACTTGTCTTGCCATTCCAATTTACTATTTCCATTTGGAATATGTGTCAAGCACTTTATTTTTAATTATGCTCATATGTGCGCGAGTACTCGTCTGGGCAGTTGTGACATACACACATCAAGGAAATGACAAACATCAAACCAAATAAACTCAAACTCGAAGCTCAAATCTTCTTAACCCAAATTTATGCATGTGTCAGAGATCGCACCATAGTTGGTCAGATGCACGTCAATTCCCATGCAACATTTTAAGCGCTGGCAGTTTGCGTATGGCAAATAAAATTGCATGCCGCTTAGAAAAATCAAAGATCCAACTGGTTTGCAATACCCTGTAAAATTTGAAAGGGATACGATGTAGCAGAATTCGAAGTTGAAGAAATATGCCTAAGGTTTAATTTTGCATGCAAAACGATGTCCGAAATTATTCAATGAAATAAATACTAAAGACACTATGCAAAGTTTTGTTGTCAAAACACTTGAGCTGCATACAGAGCATGTCTTAGTCAGAGACTCTTACCAAGAGCCTGCCTTGGCCGAAAAGAGAAAACCGCCCCAGCCTGGCCAAGAGTTGAGAGTTGCCGGACAGCTGCGAGTATGTCAACAGTCTTGGCCATATATGGCAAACTGTTTTTTTTTTTTTTTTTTTATATATATTTTCGATTTTGGCTAGATTTGAATTGGGCTGACGCTGGTGTTGGCTATCAAAGTCAATCAACAGGCGCACAATTCATTTGTGACAGATTATGCCTTGACTTTGTTTGGGCAACAGTTGACAATCGCAATGAATGGATCGACTGCCGATCAGAGATCAGCGTTCGTTTCGGTTTAGAAAGCACAGCTCAAAGCTCTAGAGCTCCCCCTTTGATTGATCGCACGCAGATTTGTCCACAAAATATGTTGTTGTTTTTGGCACTGTCCAACAAAACAAATGGAATTTGCATTGGTAAACCATAAAACGTAGCACATAAAACTTTCACTGGCTGCCGCTTGTATCGTATATTTTCTTTCTTTAACGATCTGTCTAATGTTATCGCCGCCGATCTTCAGCCTGAACTAAAACATGGTGTTAATGCTAATAGCAATGCCCATCAGTTACATGCAACATGCTGCCCGCTGCCTGCTGCCGACTGCCTGCCTCAACTGGCGAGACATTCACTTTTGCATGCAACCAAGTAATGGCGCGAGTGTTGGGGGCCCATTAATTTGCTTTAGCGAAAGGGTTTTTAGCCAGGCTTTATCTGTGGGCGCTGCTAAATAGCCGCAGAAATTTGTGCGTTTGTTAGCGGAAGGTTAACTTGTCTTGACTCTGGACCTGGACTTGGTCAAGTTGTTATCGTTCATTTGCATAAATTTACAAGTTATTCAGATAAATCGCTTGGCGTGCTGGCAAATTGCTTTCAGCTGCCGCTCATGGCGCTCATCTTCTCACATTGATTAGGCTCCCAACGTGGGACAGCTGGTTTCTGTTTGTCAGTGTGTGTGTGTTTGTGTGTGTGTGTGTGTGTGTGTGTGCCATTCATGCTCCAAATGTTGTGCAATTTGATACAAATCGAAAATGCTTATGAATGAGAATGTAAAAGCAGGCAGCATGACACGCAACTGCAGCGCGTCGCTTAATTTCCGAAAGCTAAACGCATAAAGCACTTGGCGTTAAGTCACACAAATGACTTTAATTACAAAAATTAAAGAAACATAAAAACAAAACAAAAATACCAAAACAAAATTATAGCCAGCGGGCAAGCTAAGATTACCAGAGAAAACATGTAAGAATGCGTGAAGGCAGTCGGCTCGACTATACAGATGCCCTGTAGATCGCAGTCTAGAGTAAACAAAGTAAGGAAATAGTTTGCTGAAAACTGTGCGGGCTAAATAAAGGCAATATGCCAATATATGCTCATACAATAATCAAACTTAAGCTGTCAACAGATAATTTGCTTCTCAGTTAACTGGTTAGAAGTTATAGTTATTAGAAATTGGATGAATACTGTATCTTCTCCTGATTTACGAGTACCTACATAACGAGGTTAATGTCTTTAGCGTATACAGTTCTTGAGTTATTCGAGCACCGTTCAAGAAACCTAATATATACCATGTTTGGCATAGGTCTGCTGCCAGCTGTTGTAGACGCCCGCCTTGAAGCATTTCAATTGTGCACGGGGTATTTAAAAGCAAATTAAAACTGAAACATGACCAGGCTGGGTGCCATATGAACACAAGTTTAAAGCTGCCGCTGGAATTTCTAAAGCAATATCAAATTGTTGTTTCTACTGCTGCTGCTGCTGCTGATGCTGCCGCTTGGCTGCATAATCGGCGAGTGTGCCACAGTGTGTCGAGTGAAAGTACACAGAAAGCGGCAGAAAGAAGCGTCAGATTCCACAACGCGAGCTGCCTTAGCTGGTCAGTCCGGGCCCAAAAGTTTATGACTCTGGCCATGGTGATGGCCACATGCTGATGGCTCGACATGCGCTGGCAATTTCGAAATTTCATAAATTGGACAACAACACGCATGCGCCAGCAGCTGCAACTGCAACTGCAGCAGCAGCAACAGCAGCAACATCAGCAACATCAGCAGCTGCAGCTCGGCCGCAATTGCAGTCAGAACAGATTAGAAATGTCCGGCGCGTTGAATTTAAATGAGTTTTGTTATATCTCAGCTGGCTAATTGCAAATTGGGGTTGTCAGCATTCATCATGTGCATATGTGAATATATGAATATTCATATCTGAATATGAATATGAGTATCGTTCAGTAAATGGTGCAACATTACGTATGAGCAATTTTCATGTTCAACGTCTCAAAAAACGCATGCCAACAAATTAACATGCAACAGGATTTGCGGCAAATCTTGTAAATCTCTGTCTCCCTCCACTGGGGCAGTGCGTTAAAAATGCGACTTTAACTCAACGCAGGTTGTAATTTTGTGGTATTATTAATAATAGTACAGCTTTTTATGCAACATTGGGTGGGTTTAAATTGCGAAAAGTTCAATGATTTATGATAAGATAATTAAGAAATCGTATGTTAAGGCTTACTTTGGTTACAGCAGATCTTTCAGTGTTGAAATTTTTTGTGTGAAGATGGAAGTCGACGGTTTTAATTATTTTAAATGATTTATTATAGTTAAAAGACTTCAAATATTACACAAGCTATACAAATTGTTTAATCAAATATTATAAAGCATTCTTCTTTAAAGTTGATATATAATCTTTGGAAGGAAATCCTTATTCACAGCTTATTCCATTAGCTGCAGGCTCATGTTTGGCAACGTTAAACTAATCCTAGTTTCCACATCTTTGTGCTTGCAGCAACCAGTCGAACCACAAATACAAGCCCACGCCCGCACCGCGCACCAGCAGCTCCGCATTCGCCACGAGACGCAGCAGCCACAAGATGCAGCAGCCCGGCAGCAGCTACTACACGCAAACGGAGAGCGAATTGCTGCAGCTGGAGGCTGGCGGTGGTGCGCCCTTTCCGCCGCATCGCGGCAACACAGCCCAGCAGCAGCCGCAACAGCCGCAGCAGCAGCCGCAGCAGCAGCAGCTGCAGGCAGCGAGTGGCAGCAGCAGCCATTCAACTTTGACGGGCACATGCAACAACAACAATTTGGATGCCCCATCGACGGCCGGCAGCAGCAGCGGGACGCCGTCGCACTTTGTGTCGCCGCTGCAGAGACGCCACTGCCAGCCGCCTAACCATCTGCCACTGAACTCGGTGGTGGCCACGCCGCTGCGCACCGCCAGCTACAAGACGGCGGCCACGGCCAGTGTCTATCATCATAGCCACCATCAGCAGCTCGATTTTCAGCGCAACTCACAGTCGGACGATGACAGCGGCTGTGCGCTCGAGGAGTACACCTGGGTGCCGCCGGGTCTGCGGCCAGATCAGGTAAGCGGGCGTAGCCCAACACATACACCAATTTGTCGCAGCTAATTAGGTGAAATCACAAAAGCAGCCAGCGGGCAATTTTTCGCTGGCAATTCGCTGGTCGATTTCCATGTGGTTTTTGATTTTATTTTTGTTTGTGGTTTCTGGCCACCTGCTGTGGGGCTTTGGACTTTTGCTTTCGTTTGCCCAAAATCAAATCGAGTGCCAGTCGCAGCCTCAGCTCCAGCTCCAGTTCAATGTCTAACGGCACGTTTAAGGAAATGCGGCGAGCACTTTAATTGCCGCTGAGCGGCTTTTCTTTCTTTTTTTGGTTGGTGGAAAATTATCGCTCAATCGACTGGCAATCGATAAAAAGCGAAAGCGTTTTGTAATTAAATTCGTTTGCCCGCATTTGGCTGCAATTAGAGAGCCCGGTCAAGAGCTGGGGCCAAATCTGGCCCAAATGCTTACATAACTGGCGGCGGAAAAAAAAAAAACTAAAAGAAAAACCAACTGCGAGAGTTGGCAGCTTTTCTGCCATTCATTCTGCTGGCGTCATGACTTTTTCGCGACATTTTCCACTTTCGCACGTTTCACATCAGTTTTTGTTGTTTTCGTTGCTTTTACTCTTTGTTGTTCAATTTTTTGCCGATATTCGTGTGGCTAAAAAGAGCTGTGGGCGTGCATTGTTGTTATTTGTGCTTTTGGCCAAGTTGGTGAAAGCGATTTGTCACTGGACTTTGATTAATTCGTTATGACTGGTCCTTAATGAATTGCTTCCCACGAAATTAGTCGCCCAGCCAGTTGTCCAATCGTTAAGCCAAAGTTTATGGCTTATACATAAATGCAGTGCTTAAGTTTTTCTTACTTTACATCTGATGTTCTCTCTCTTTCTTCTAACTGCTCGTTAACAGGTTCGCTTGTACTTTAGCCAACTGCCGGACGACAAAGTGCCCTACGTCAACAGTCCCGGGGAAAAGTATCGCGTGAAACAATTGCTGCACCAGCTGCCGCCCCAAGATAACGAAGTGAGTATTAGCCAAAGCAGCCAAAGGAGCCAAAAGGAGCAGAAGCAATGAAAGCACAGCTCATCAGACAGACTGCCAGCACAAGGAAGCACTCAATGGCCCTGGCGACAACAAAAAAAAAATATATAAAAATAAAAAAAGAAGATCTCAAGCATCATAAAAATGCAGTTAATGCCAGCTACAGCATTGCCAACTTTTGAGAATTTCGAAAAGCAACAACCAAAATGACAGTAAATGAAAACAGAAGCGAATATTCAGCCAAGCATTGCCGAAGACTTAATACCCTTACTGTTGTCTAAGGCTCATAGTAAGCTAGGTTTAGCCTAACTGAAGCTTAGGAATCGTAGCCTCAAAACAAATGCTTCGACTTACTGAAAACTGCGCTGCGAACCCTCAAACTATGAAAAAACGTTTTGATGACAAATTGTTAAAAAGGAGAGCGCAGATATGACAGCTTTATATATGGCATAGATAGTGATCCGATTTTGATTATATATGTCCCACTTGTGTACGACATTAGTGTAAACTGCTTGAAATTACCTAAAGTATTAATATTTTTCTCATATGAAAATATTGCAAATAGATTCCATTATTTAATTTAGGCAGAACATTTGCAAGCTCCAATTGTTTTTCCAATCAACATTTAACTTTTTCTCGACAATATCTATGTCAGCTCCATGATATAGCACTTCGATTCAATGGGCTTCGGTAAATCTGTTGCCTGCAACAGAAGCAAGGATCCATCCCAGCTCAAAGTTCAGTTCAGATGGACAGACAAACAGATCAGCACTAGATATGCCTTTTAGCGGCAAGTTTGCCAGTAGAGTTTCAGCATCCTTTGCAAGGGTATTTCAAAAGGAAAAGGCAAATAAATTTGTATAAAAATCAAGGCCACGCCCCCCATAGTCAGTGCGAGATTAAAAAAGTTGGCATTGCCTTTTTTGAGCTGCGCCCATAAGAGAGGGAGATTTTAATTAATATTTACAATGCAAGAAACTGGCTGGCTTCTCGCTGGCTTGGCTACCAATACCAATACCATCACAATTTCCATTGCCATTAACCATTAACCATGTTCATGGCCATGTCCATTCCAGGTGCGCTATTGCCACTCGCTGAGCGACGAGGAGCGCAAGGAGCTGCGCATCTTTTCGGCGCAGCGCAAGCGGGAGGCGCTCGGACGTGGCGCGGTGCGGCTGCTGTCCGACGAAAGGCCCTGCAAGGGGGTAAGTACTATCCTGCACTGCCCCACGACCCTTGCTCAGCTTAATTGTGAGCCAAGAAATTTGCATTTTATTATGAGCCCGAAGAAAAGGCGAGTTTCGATTTCATTTTTTTGCCATGGCCGGGCAAAGTTTGTGCGCAAAACTTTGACAGGACTCGCCCGGCTCCCAAGGACTGCTTATGAATAATGGCCGGGTGTGGGTGGCTGGGGCTTGCGAAAAAAAATTGACAATGGCGCCTGCCAGAAACAATAAGCGAGGGACAACAAGGGCTGCTGCGGGGCGAGGCGGGCGAACACGGTTAACTTTCAAACGTCGCGACGTCGCAACTTGGCAGCATCTCAAATAAAAGATGACAAAAAGATTTCATTAAGTACACTTTTAGCAAACGGCAAAGTGCTGCAACAACGGGCGAAAAACTGCAAATGAAAAACGTTGTTGCAAAAACAATTGCAGCAACTGCCATTGCAACAGCAATACAAAAGGGCCACAGCCAGCTCCAAGCGCCGGACAACGGACTATGGAACTCTGCTGTGAACTAACCGAGTGCTGCAAGTTGATTTTTGTACCCTGTAAAGGGTGAACGGAGTTGTTTTGGGGTAGGGCTAAAATATGTGCAATAAGCGGAAGATATCTTTGATTCTTTGAGATTCTTTGTGCTAAGAAAACTCGAGGACTATAAGCTCTACAAGCTGATACCTTGGTATGCAGGCTCTTATATGGCAAACCTAGCTTAAACTAAAAAAAAGCTGTTTAAGAACTGGCTAAGCTCCTCAGTTATTAAGTGAAAACGAGCTGCAAGCATATATTTAAATAAAAAAGTTTTTATTTCTGGACTGTTTGCTTTAGGATGTTTGTATCTGTATAAACATTAGCAGTGATTTATAATTTAATTAACAAGGCATCTGGCTGTCGAGCATTTTGGATTTTAGCCCATTTGCCTTTGCTTTTTTGTGGAAAAGTGAGTGTGCATATATAGAGAAGCTGCGCAACGCAGTGAAATGGCACTAAAGCACAATGCTAGTAGCATAAAATAGTCGCAGTAGCAGTAGCAGTAGCAGTCGCAGTAGCAGTAGCAGTTGCAGCAGCAACAGCAGTAGCAAGGAGTTGTAGGTCACATCCTGCCCCCGTACCTTAAACAAAAATTTGCATTGTTATTAGCTGGCAGTCTATGGAGTTGGAGTTCGAGCTCGAGTCTGTGCGTGGCGCTGGCTAACCGACTGGCAAGTGGAGCTTCTATAGCTTCAACTTGGCCTGTCTGTACAGCTACAATCCATATACCCGATCCATGGCTACCCACTGTCTGCCTGCCGCAGATAGTTTGGAGCTTGATTTTATTGTGTTCACATTCGCCACTCGTAAAACTTATTAAAAAGTTTATGCCGCATGCTGCCACGCAGCGCTGCGTGTCTTGTCTGGGCAACCGGTCGAGTTTGGACGACATGGACATGCATTCAACAGCATCCAGCATCCAGCATTTGTGCGCTGCACTGGCTTCAGCCCCACTTCGCCGATTCACAGTGCCTCTCGCCCGTCTGCTACGTGCGTGGGCGTTGCGGCTCGTCGGAGGTGTTGCCCTGGCATTAAAGTTGTGCCCAAGTTTTCTCAGTGATTTTCTTTGGTTTTGGGTTTTTTGCGGAGAGACGACCAAATTGGCAGCCAAGTTGCATTTATTACGCCTCACCACAACGACTTATAAGGCAGCAGGGGCAGCGCTCTGGCCAGGCCAGAGCCAGACCAAGACCAAGACCAGGTCCAGGTCCAGGTTCAGAGTTCATTAGAGACAGGCGCGCAAACAGCGTGCGAAGTTTTCAATAAGTTTGTCCTCTCATGTTTAATGCCAAAGTGCAGTTACATATTTGATTTCATATGTTTTGATCAATGATGCCAAGGGCTTACCTCATATGATACTTCAGTTATTTATGATGCCACTCGCAAAGACTTTCAAAACTCTGCACATTATATTGCTCAAAGTTAGCTTCAGTTGGCGTGGGGCACGATGCCAGCAGCTCGTTTGTTATTTACAAGTTAAAGTAGATGTTTAACTATACGAAAAATAAGCACTGTTTAAATTTATAGCAAGAATTTTCTGTAGTTATAGAATAGATTATCTTTCTAAATACGTTATTTTTGTCTGTGTTAAGCAATGGAAGAAATAGATAGAATGAAAACTCATATATGTAGAAATTTGTTACGCTAAGCCACAGGCAGGCGGCTGTGGTTAATCTTAAGCCAGCAGCATATTTTGTAAAAAAGAGCATTACTCGAGTAAATAACGTTCGATTATTAAATGATGTAACTTATTAGAATACTAATGTTATCAGTTGCAAGAGTTGGCAAATTTTTGTTCAAATTGTCAAAGGATAACAATACAATTTGTATAAAACTGGGTTAGAATCGAGAATCAAAGGCTATTAAGCATTTCGTACTGTTCTTGAACTTAAAGCGAATAAAGATTCTAACATACTTCAGATGAGTTTCCATGTTTTAATGTATTTTAAAAAATTTTTTATTCTAACAATTTGAGTTAGTCCTTCTCTGGAATAGTATTTAACCAAGTCGAAGCAGCTGAGCAGCATTCAATTGCCCGATCAAGTTCAACTGGTTATTAATGAAATCTGATAAGTCAAGTCAGATTTGATGTTCACGAGCAAAACTGACGAGGCAGAGCCCACTCCTCAGTCTGACCCTCGTGCTACTTAAAATTCACAAACCATAACTGAGACCTGCTAAACGAAGGTTAAAATGCGAACAAAGCAAATGCCGCCCACTGAATCAGCTTTGTGGGGGCAGGGCAGTGCAGGAGGAGGAAGCGTGAACAGCCAAGCAGAAATTATACTTAAAGGAAATTTATGAAAACGCTCAATGAGCCTGAATGATGCCCGGTTCTCCTTTGCTGCTGCTGCTGCTGCCAAAAAGCACTCAAATTCAGTCAAGCGTAAATGAGTCGCATGGCCAGAGGAACGTGCGTCAAAGTCAGAGTTAGTCGGAGTCAGAGACAGATCCACATCTCGTAATGATTTGGCCAGCTCAGATTTTCCACACGAACAACAATGGAGTCAGCTGAACTGACAGTTGGCGTTGGTACTGGGGCTGAGCGGATGTGACAGCAGAACTTGACAAGGATGTGACACTAAAGGTCGTCCTGGCAACGATGGAATACAAAATAATTATTAAGTAAAGCCAGGGCATATACTTTTGCACAAAACTGCGGAGGGGTGAAGGCAGCAAAAAGTTGGCGCAACATAAAAAAAAAAAAGGGAAGGTAGCTGAAAATCCTGCTGCCTGCTGCCTGCAGCCTGTTAAGCAAAAAGTTTATGTACTGAAAAGGGCACGATAACGAGCGTCATTAATAATTTGAAGGCACTGTGCAGTGAGCGAAAGAACAAGAGAGAAAGAGAGAGATATATGTATAGAGAGGAAAAGAGAGAGGGAGAGCGATGGGCTTAGGTATTGGGGGTTGGGCCACGACTGGGCAGGAAATTGTCTTGCTTGTCTGCTGGCAAGTTTGTCGGGCGCAGCGCCAAATTTGGATTAGGGCGGACGACACGAAATGGGTTAGCCAGGTCAGGTGGCGCCTCCGCGTGGCAGCCAGCGTCAATTTGTCAATAGCATAATTGTCTGCACTGCAGCAGAGCCCGGCTGCGAGTCAGCGACTGCATGCGACTGGGATTAATTGGATTGATAAGATAAATGAACAGCGATTGCTGTTAAACACATGACATTTGCCAAAATCACCAGCAGCAACAGCAGCACCAGGCGAAGTGCTGAAAAATGTCCTTTTAAGTGGACTCCAAGCAATGAAAAAAAAAAAACTTTTATACTTTTGCAATTTGGTCACCACAGAAACTACTTAGAGCTTTTCCGGCACAACTTCTAGTCTGAACCACAACAAAGTGCTGGCCAAAAAAAAAGGAAGTAAGAAGCAGAAAGTCCTGACCGCAACAGGATGCGCAGCAGCTACAAAAATACATCATTAGCGCCTGACAAAGTCTCTCTTGCTCTGCAGAGCCTAATTAAAGTGCGTGGTGGTTGCTTCTTTTTTTTTTTTTAGAAGTTGGTAACAATTAACGACGCATGCAGCGGGCCAAACTGGTAGCTACTTAAGCCTGACTATGGAAATTATCAGCCCTGTAAAGGAGCGTGGGTTCTAGGTACTGGCTGTCAATGTTTAATGGCTTGCAAAAGTAAATGTTGATTGCGGGGGGACATTGCAGAGCGGCCCACTGAGGTTTAATAGCCTGGAAAGTTAAGAAGCTGCAGGAAGCGAGGTCCTTGCAACGTCTTGTGGCTTTTGTGGCGCTGCCGGGTAATTTGCGTGCGCGAAACGAAGACACGGTAGCTGGGCTGGGAGGGAAGCGGCAACAGGAAATGCTGAAAGCTGAAACGAAAATGGCGCAAATTGGCGTCGGCTTTGTCAGGACTAAGAGACTGAGGGCTGATAGAAACGTGTTGGAGGGGGCATGAGGTCATAGGGCTGCCCACAAATGGCAGCGCTTTTTGCGTCGCATGTGCTCTCAACTTTTTGGGTGCCCCCAAAAATGGCATTCATAAATCAAAGCAATTGCGTTAATTGCTTTGCATGCACATTAAATGTTGCAAAGTTGTCTTTTCCTAGGCAAGGTTATAGGAAATGGGTAAAAATAGATTTCCTAAAAAAGTTAGAAAAGCTTGAGCAGAGTATAGACCCTATTAGAACTTTTGCTATATACAAACAAAGTTATAATAGATTGTCTACGTGATATGTATGTCATATATTAATATGTTCTAAATACCACAGGAATTGCAAAGTTTTTTAGGATAAACAGTTGATGTACTACAGCTACCTATATTAGAGGTTATACGTTAGATTTCCTAACACATGCCATATTCAGGATGTGGTTCAGCTATATTAAAGAGTCTTGACTATAAAAGAAGACAGAACTTTCTTCCGGTGCGTCAAACCGCCCTTGTACCCAGGTGGAGCATACTATAGGTCATAGATATTTTGGTATAATTTTTAATTACTTAAGGAACTCAGAAGTTTCTTTTAGAATGTGCTGGATTCAATGTCAGAAAACATTCAGGACCATCTTCCAATAGGGACTGGAGTAGATACAAAGCCAATGGGAGGTCTACGAAGAATTTAATCAGCTTAACGCGGGCTCAGCTTTTATTGACATTCAGGCAACCTACTCGCAGACGTACCTTTTAATGGATGAGCTTCATCTAAACTCCCTGCTATGCTCTGTATCTACTCCAGGCACTGTCTGCGAGTCTGTCAATGCAGGTCTTAAGTATCCTTCTAGAAAACATCCATCTTTTTGTCTCCGCAACTCCATGTTAGCTGCTCCTGACTGCCTTGAAGCATATGTTCTTCCTGAATTTCTTCGCCACCTAGCAACTGTTTTAACCACATAACCGGCTTGAGTTCCTCAGGCAAACCAAACACAAAGACATTAGCTCGCCTGACCCTATTTAGGTGCCTCGCTCTACGTAAATAAGTTCATTATGCGAATGGCTACAGCATTAACGAGTTGAGGTTGAGTCATTAAAAGCTGCGCTTCCGTGCGGGCTCCGTGACAACCAGCTTCGACTCCAACTATGACTACAACACCGACTCCGACTCCTACTCCTCCTTCGAATGCGACTACGACACCGACACCAGCATTTTCCTTGCGGCCTTTTCTCGTGTTTCGCGTTTCGTGTTTTGCCAACAGTTTAAAGTCTCCCAGTTTTTCCGCTCGCTCTCTGGGGAGCACTTGGGCGCTGAGGCCGCGCACATGGCCGGCAGCTATTTTTGCATGATTTCCGTTGAGAAAAAAACGAAAACCGCAAAGTTAGGAGCTGAGCGGAGGGTTCTCGTTCTCGTTCTCGTTCTAGTTCTGTTCTCGTGCCGGTTGTAGCCCTGTTGTCCTCGCTCGGGGGGGCTTAAGCGTTTTATTACCGTTATTTAGCATTTATAGTCGCTTAAATATTTTCGCCCAGCCGAAAGCAGACGCTGCAGATTTCTATCGCCTCGCTGTCTCCCCAGCATATTTCTGTTATTTATACACGGTTTACCTAATGCCCCCTTTCTCTTCTTTTACTTTTGTACAGTGCGAGGAGCAGCTCTCCGGCGGTGACATTGTGGTCTTTGCCCAGCGCCTGGGCGCCCAGTTGTGTTGGCATCCCGGCTGCTTTGTGTGCAGCGTATGCAAGGAGCTGCTCATGGACTTGATATACTTTCAGCGCGATGGAAATCTCTACTGTGGCCGCCATCATGCCGAGACCCAGAAACCGCGCTGCTCCGCTTGCGATGAGGTGAGTACGAGAAGAGCTGATTAATAGAACTAGTTCAGTTTGAAATTTAATTAGTTAACTGTTTGAGGAGATGAATTAATCATTGTTTTAGTTAAACGCAAGGAATATTCTATATATTTAAAATATTAATAATTGCAATCAGTTGGTTCCGAGCAGAATACATAGAGAGAAGAGATTTAAATTTATCGCTTCACAACTTAACAAACCGCAATCTTTCTTACCCTCTCACCTCTGCAGATCATCTTCTCGGATGAGTGCACGGAGGCCGAAGGTCGCACCTGGCACATGAAACACTTCGCCTGCCAGGAGTGCGAGCATCAGCTGGGCGGCCAGCGATATATTATGCGTGAGGGCAAGCCGTATTGCCTGGGCTGCTTTGACACCATGTTCGCCGAGTACTGTGATTACTGCGGCGAGGTCATTGGCGTCGACCAGGGCCAGATGAGCCACGACGGGCAGCACTGGCATGCAACGGATCAGTGCTTCTCGTGCTGCACCTGCCGCTGCTCGCTGCTGGGACGTCCGTTTCTGCCGCGTCGCGGCACCATCTACTGCTCCATTGCGTGCAGCAAGGGTGAGCCGCCAACGCCGTCGGACACGAGCTCTGGCCCACAGTTGCGGCCCACACATCGCGCCTCCACTTCCAGTCAAATAGCGCGCTCGCCGCGGCGCACGGCCGAGTCGACGGGGCGTGGCAAGAGCAGCAGCAGCGGGGGCGGCACTCATGGACATGCGGGCAAGAGCGCGGGCAGCGCTGGTGATTTGCTGGAGCGGCAGGAGCGCAAGCGCATGGAGGCAGCAGGCGTGGCCGATTTGCTGCTGGGCGGCTGTGTGCCCGGCATGCCACGACCCGCCCATCCGCCGCCCATAGACCTGACCGAGCTGGGCATAAGCCTAGACAACATCTGTGCCGGCGATAAGTCCATTTTTGGCGACACGCAGTTGACCTCCTCCATGCCGGACATGCTGCTGTCCAAGGCGGAGGATTCGCACAGCTATCAGAGCATAGACAAGATCAATCTGAACTCTCCTAGCAACTCGGACATGACGCAGAGCACCCAGGAGCTGGGCAACGATCTGGAGCTGGACAATGAGTCTGTGCGCGAGCTGGAGCTGCCACACGACGGCTACGAGCAGCTCTTTGCCGCCAAGCAGCGCAGCAATCTGGACGAGAAGGAGGAGCAGCAGCAGCTGCAGCAGCAGCATCATCAATTGGACAATCGACCGCCGCTGAAGGAGGTGCGCTTTCACAGCGTGCAGGACACCATGTCGCGCTCCAAGAGCTACACGGATAACTCGAATGCGCGACGTCGTCGCCGGCGGCGCAATCAATCGCGCAGCTCCTCCGAGATGCAGATCAATCAGACGAATCTGCGACTGCACAATGCCCAGACGCAGGCGGGCGGCGGCGCACTGAATCTGCTAAACAATCTGGACAATTGCGATGTGGCCAGCATCTGTTCCACATGCTCCTCCAGCTCCTCCAGCGACATGGACGACTATGTTTACAGGCTGCCAGCGCGCAAGCACTACGGCGGCGTGCGTGTCGCCTATGTGCCCAATGATGCACTCGCCTACGAGCGCAAGAAGAAGCTGGCTCAGGCGGGCGATGCCAACGCTCTGGGCGGCTCCTCCGCGGGCAGCTGCTTGGGTGGCGCCCAGTCTAGCTTGCCGGCGATCATGCACGAGAGCAAGAATTGCACGATATCATGACCACCTCCGATGCTGCCGCCGCCGCCGCTGAATCTCAGCAGCTATTACATACTGGACACCATACTCGAGGAGCAGAGCCTCAGTCTGTTGCCCGAAAAGAAACCCGGCTGCTTGAGGCGTGTCTGGAACTTCTTTGGCCTGGGCAAGCCACGTCCGGGCAATGCACAGCGTCTATATAGCGTTTAAAACTGGATATCGGGGCTTTTGTAAATGGACATATCGATAAATACTATATTATATGCAAAACTAATACAACATATATTAACTAAGGATTGGTGGACATTTAGATTAGCTGTAAATTGAGCTGGTAAGAAAAAACACACACATATTTTCTTTTCTTTTCATTTTCCTTCTTGTATATTACATTTATCCATGCTGTCCGCATACAACACGTATTATTTCACATACTTTAGCTCACAAAGTATTCCAAACTACATACATATAGATATATACATATAGGGTATACAATGGAGATGATGAGAGACTCCCTTCCCCTCTCTCTCGGTCACTCTGTTTTTTATCTACAACTTTGTACAAAGCTAAAAAGTATATCAAGCATTTACACACATATTATAGGTATATACGCACATATATTATAGCATATAGTATATAGTATAGATAAGTCGATGCTAAGAATCTGCCAGAAACAAAGGATAGTAAAATAAAACGCAATCAACGAACAATAAACTGTTAAATAAAGCAACTGCCAACAAAAGAATTTTTTAATAAAATAATTAATTATGAAAGAAAAAAAAAAATAAAAACAAAACAACGAAAGAAGAGCGAAAGTTTTCGCCTAGCAAATGTGCAATAGCTAAAGTTATAAAGAAAACTCACCCCGCTCCAAATCTCTATATACACAATTCTTTACATGCATATATATGTATATATACATAAACATATATCTAGATATATATGTATGCAAATTGGTTTTCATTCAGTTAAAGCGAAAATTCTTTTGTTTATCTGCGCGGTTTTTATGCAATGTTTCAGCTTTCGCCGCCGCGCGAAAGTGAAAGAGTTTTATAAAAGAAAGGAATTTTTGTGTCCAGAATTAGTTGCGAAAGTTTTGTGTAATAATAATAAAAAGCAGCGAAATTTATTGCGCCAATCAAACGAATGAGGGTAAAGTTAAAAGTTATATACGAAACGCATACATATGAGTATTTTAAGTATTTGTTAAGTATATCATTTAAGTCAGTGTATATGGAAACATAATCAAAATAATATATATATATATATATATATATATATATATATATATAATATACATATGTGTATCATATAGAACAACAATGTGTGTGAGTTTTGTTCAATTGTCTCACTGGCGTGGCACCAAATGCACCCAGTAGCCGCTCTGTGGTGTCAGCTGGAAGCCGCGGGCATCGCTCAGCAGATCCTTGACCGTCTTGGGCGAGCGCTCGATTCTGTACTTGAGCACCAGGTTGTATAACATGGCCTTGGCCTGCATCAGAGCATAACGATTGCCTGCGTGGAATCAAAAATAATAAATACTACACATAAATAAACAAGAAAAGGTTCGCACTCACCTATGCAATTGCGAGGACCTGCGCCGAAGGGCAGATACGTGTAGGGCACGATTTGATTCTTGTTCTCCTCGCTGAAACGTTCCGGCTTGAATACGTGCGGTTCGGGGAAGAAGCGATCGTCCAGGTGCAGACCCACAATGGGTATATTGATGCGATCGCCCACCTTAAACTCGAACAGCTTTGAGCCGTCGTCATCGTAGAGCGTGTAATCCTTGGAACACTGGCGATCTGTGGAAGCGGCCAGCGTCCATTTCCTCAGGGATTCAGAGACAACCATATCCATGTATTTCATCTTGGTGACAGCATCATAGCTGAGCGGCTCGCCCTTCAGCGAATCGTGCGTCTCCTTGACCTCCTCGTAGAGGCGTTGCTGTATCTCCGGATTCTGCAGCAGCTCGTAGGCTGTCGTGCAGATGAGACTGGCATTGTTCTCGAATGCCGCAAAGAAGAAGATGAAACACTGGGCCACCAGCTCATCGTCGGTCCAGTTCTCCGTTGAGTCCTTCTTGGCCTCCATCAGCAACTGAATCATGTCCGGCCGCACAATATTGTGCTCCTCGCGATACTTCATGGCGTCCACAACAAGGCGTATGAAAAATTCCGTCTTCTCCGAGTCAAAGATCTTGAAGCCCAGCAACTGGAGTGGCAATATGCATATATATAGAGGAGCTTTCAATTAATTTCCGTAGTAAACCCACCTTGAAGAGCCAGGGCAGCGTGGTGGACAGCATAAATTTGTACAAAGACTTGCCGCGGAAAAAGGCCACCGATTGGCCAATCTGGAAGAACTCGTTGTTCGGCGTCTTGTAGGAGCTAACCTTCAGTCCGAAGGCCGTGGTGGCAATCAAATCATTTGACAACCGATTGCACACCTCCTTCAGTTCCAGTTCAAAGCCCTCACCCGGCTTGACGGCTGTCTTGGCCATCTTGTCCAGATGTTCCATGCACTCGGCAAAGCTCTCGTTCATCAGGCCGAACATGCTGCGCATCTTGGCCGAGGTGAAAACGGGTGTCAGAGTGTTTCGCATATGCTTCCAGCGCTGATCCTTCATTACGCTCAACATATCGTTGACCAGACGCTCCTCGGTGGTAAAGAACAGCTGATGGTTGGGAAAGTGATCAAAATCCTTGACAGTTATCTTCTTAATCAACTCCGGATCGTTCACTTGAATCATGGGCGTGCGAAAATTGAAAAAGCCCACCAATTTGCTGCAATATCAATGTACTTCAACCATTGGGGAATACTTAAGATAAACCGGATCGATTACTCACTGTTGTCGGGTGCGTAAATAAAACTCGGAGACCAGTTTCTGAAACGAGGCCTTGTTCAACACAACATCCGCATTATTGCCGAGCAATGGCCAGGGTTTCTCAAAGGGCAGGCCACGCTCGGCAAACTCATTCTGCCTGGCCGTGGCCCACTTGTAGGCGAACAGCAATAGCCCAACCAGGGCCACCAATAAAATCAGATCCATTTTCGATTACAAAACCCAATTGAACTCGACCGTGACAAATGCGTACAGAACGCTTCTATTCACCCACAATGCTCAACTGGAACTAAACTCTTGCTACTAAGCGATCTGGCTTTTATATGTCGGCTCTCCCCGGTCTCCATATGGCATATGGCAAGTACTCTGTGCAATTGCCGATAGATAAAAGTTGTTGCGATAATGCCAGCCGCGCAAGCGAAATACAAAAACAAAATAAGAGTCGCATATAAGCACGTTTAGAATTTTTAAATGTTGTTAGCTATTTGCTTCATTCACCGGCAAACTGCTCTCTCTCTCTAAGTATAACAACCTATATGGCATGCTCTAGGCGAGGCATTTTGACAGATACCCTTTACAACTTGCTGAATGTAGCTCATAATAGCCCCCTAAAGAGCTAAATAATTAATAAGAGTATTGAGAAAAAAGAAGATAGCAACAATATTGCCAAAAACTACTTAAAGCTTGATTGAATTACTTAATTTTATAGTATTTATTTATCGCATATAAAGCAAATATTCCCTTATAATCTGATAGTTATCAGAGCCTATTATCAAAGATGTACAAAGGAGACTTCATAGAGCGGCAGTGAGAAAGAGTGGGAGAGAGTGAGAGAGATGGAGAGAGAGTGAGAGTGAGAGAGATACAAATATTAACACTCGTCCACTTGAATTTATTCATATCTATTTGTTGATATGGGCAACGGCTGATGCAATGCATAGGGAGAATTTTTTAAATAAAGGTGCTTGACTGGGGATTTGTTGGAGAAAATTTTATGACTGTGTTTGATTAGCCAATGTTGTGATGGAAAGGGACTGATTACTAATTGATAAAGCGGCTCGTTTTATTGAGTACCAGACAAACGTAGCAGTATGCCAGACTTGTAGTTGACCTGGAATGGCGTGGAAACAAGCTAAAGGAATAAAAAAAGCACAGGCAGTTTTTGCCATAATAGTTGGAGTATATATTGATGAAGCTTAACAGAACATATTATATATGGTATCGGCCTTTATGTGCAACTCTTCCCCGATTACCAATTCTAATAATTACAGGGTATACATATATAATGCAAGTTGAACAGATATAATTGAAATAATAAAATATACATTGTTTATACTAGTTTTAAAATGACTTCAACAGATTTAAGCCCAATGATCTTGGTGAGCTGTCAACTTGATAAATTGATCATATTCTTGAGACAAAGTGGAGAGCTGAGATGTCAATGCTGGCGCTTATGCAAGCTCTGAGAACCTCAAACTTTAAAGGCAAAAAACTATGACATAAACTTGTGATGACTGGAAAAAGAAGACAAGCAAAACTATGAAACAAGTTGCGAAGAAACCGCTTTGTTTACGTTTACGGTTTGAATATTTTAGCATATTGACCGATACTTGGGCTAACTTTGACTCCGACTCTGACTCAGGCTCAAAATACTGCACACAAAAGTTAGAAGCAAACAGTTAAACAGCAAATTAGCCGCGAGCGTTATAACAAAATGCCTGTAATTAAATATTTAGTCAGTTTGTTTAGCTGCAGAGTCGGATGGATGGACGGATGGATAGATGGATGGTTGGGTAGACGGGTAGATGGCTGAATGGCTAGTTGGTTGGCTTGTTTGATTGTCAGACTGTGACTGGCACTTTTCGAGTTTAGAAATTTGCAAACTGTTTGTCATATATTGTGTGTGAAAGGGTAGAGAAATACAACCAGAGACTAAGCGAGCGGGAGACACTGACAAATGTAGGGGTTGAATTGAAGCAGTGTATGCACATTGCCGTACACTGACACAATTTATAGTTACAAAGATGATAGTAACCAAAAAAAATAGTCTACAGTGAAATCTGGAGAACATTTATCTAAATGAGCTTGAAACTGCGTAACTGGTAAAGAAAAAAGTTGTTTGCGATTTTTCCACATATGCAGGTGGATTTTTCCCGCGACTCCGTCTTACGGTTTAGGCTGTGCGCTGTTCACCAATTCGTTTGTTTTGGCAGTTTTATATATTGAGATTCAATGGCTATTACTTAAATGATTCAAGAAGCAAAAAAATGGTTTCAGCCTAACTAAGCACTTTTAATTGCAAATATAATTGTTAAAAGTAATCAGACCGCAAGTTCATTTAATGGCAATGCTGTGCGCTGTATTAAAAAGCCATTCGTATTGCCGTATTTTGAACATGCGCAACATTCTCATTTTGTACGGCATATTGCATCTTTGGCTAGCGCTAAAACTGAGCTACAATGTGTGTGTGGAGTGGTCGATAGTTGACCATATTTAAAGCTAATAACAGCTTCTTCCACAGGAAGCTGTCGAGTTCAAGATGTCGAATGCGGTTTGCGAGAGCTATAACAAATCGTGGTTTGTCATACACAAATGTCGCCTGCGAGCAGTTAATCGGGATAAAACAACCATGAATTTGAATGGAACTGTCCTGCATCCAGCTTACGATATTTTTGTTAGGGCGCAAATATTGAAGAAGGCGAATGGCTACAAGCCCTGGCTCTACAATATGAACATCGATGTATGCCGTTTCCTGAAGAAACCGTACAACCCAGTTGCAATAGTTATTTTTAAAATGTTCAAGGAGTTCACCAACTTTAATCATACGTGTCCCTTTATAGTAAGTATTGCATCCCGTTCGATTGGGCCAGGCTATATTCAAGTAGCGCACAGCCAGCCAAAACGTGGCCCTTTCTAAAATCCAGCTTTCTCTTTCACAAAAGGGCCCACAAATCGTGGATGGATTTTATCTGCGATGGAAATTTTTGCCAAATGTTCTGCCAACAGGAGAATATCAATTGGCCATGACCTGGTACTTTGATAAGAGACCACAATTTGTGACGAACATCTACTTTACCTTCAAGGAGGACTTGTGAGAGTATTATTATATAAAGCAACACAAAAATCCACAGCAATATCTGGGTAAGCCTTACATTATTTCCACTTCAAATCGATACAAAAACAAAAAAATATATTCTTTAAGATAATTACGATAATTGAACCTTTTTAAACGGATATAATTATTTGACGTGTCGAAGCATAAAGCCCGTTTTATATAATATACAACGTATCTATAACAGATATTAATTATGACATATGATATAAAAATATCTTCGTTGAACTTGTATTCTTCTGTCCCTTTGGGCAGGTCAGAGCTCTTGCCAATGCAATTTTTTTGACAACGCATTCGCTGGGATCCTTAAGGATTCAACCGAGCTATGGCCAATTTTTGTGTGTACACTCAAGCTCGAATCAATGTTTTTTTTTTAGGCCCCAGCCGAAAGCTTAGATTCGAACAATCCGATAGTGTTCATTCCATTATGTGTGAATTGAAGCGGAAATTGCTGCGAATATACAAATTTTCAATGCATACAAGTATTGAGTGTTTAAAAGTCATCCGAGAATCATCGCCATGCGCATCGCTTTCATTGTTTGGGGAATATTTCAAGTTTGCTTAATTCTGAAGCTGAGTTACAATGTAGGTTAGCTTCAAGTTAAATTCTAAATTCTTAAAACAATGTGATTGAACAAAACTTTCAACAGGAAGCCCTTGAATTTAAGTGGACAAATGTGGCTTGCGAAAGCTTCAACAAATCGTGGGTTGTCATGCACAATTGTCGACTGAGGGCAGTTAATCGAAATAAAACAATTTTAATTGTGAATGCAACTCTTCTGCAACCAGCCAATGATATTTTGGCTAAAGTGCAACTGTTAAAGAAAGAGAATGGATATAAGCCATGGCTCTACAATGTGAAAATCGATGTGTGTCGTTTCATGGAGAAACCCTACAACCCAATTGCAATACTTATGTATAAAATGTTCAAAGAGTTTTCCAACGTCAATCACACATGTCCCTTTATAGTAAGTATTGCTGTCGGACACTAAGGTAGATGTGAGCCAACCAAAATTAACACTTTCCTTATCCACAAAAGGGCCCACAAATTGTGGATGGAGTTTATCTCAATTGGAAGTTTTTGCCAAATATGTTGCCATCAGGAGACTATCAAGTGGCTACGAACTGGTATTTTGATAAGAGGCCACAATTTCAAACGAAAGTCTATTTCACCTTCAAGGAGGATTTGTAAGAATTTGATCAAATAAAAACAAACATTTTTGAATATAGAACCACATCAACAACTACTAAAGCTTATGCCAAATGATATTAATCGTTACTAGAAATAAATTATTTAAACTAATAACGTTAAATAAGCATTTCTGAATGCGAATAATTAGTTGATGTGTCGAAGCATTAAAAGCGTTTAATATAATGTATCTATATAAGCGACAAAATATATGACATAATACATATATGTTAAAATTTTTGCTGGCTTTATTTTCCTTTTTCTTCAGCTTATTGTTTTTTGTTAACATTCCTTTTAAATGGAATTCACAACTCTGAGAATTTAAAAAATTGGTAACTAAAAACAATTTGTGGCTCATCACAGCTGCGATTCTCGTTGCATACTTTCGGGGTGCATGCATTCAAGTGTGTGCGCCTGAAAGATAGCTCGGTATATGGAGGTCCACTTCCTTTGATATTTAGTTGAATAAATGGCAATAGATGCATGAGCCAGAAAAGGCAACCTTTTGTGCTTTTCGATTACATAAACAATATGTAGCTATTGCCATTCAAGGATTTCAGGATAATATGCGTAAAATACTTATTATCTCATCAACTATAAACAGAATTTTTAGTTTCTTTTGGGCAGGCAAAAGATCTTAATCAATGTCATTAAAAGCCCATGCCCAAAGCTGCGATTCGAACAATCCGATAGTGTTTCTTTCATTATGTACGCATTGAACCGAAAATGCCGAAATATACAAATTTAGTATGCATACAATTATTAAGTCTCTGAATGTCATCCGAGAGCCATCGCCATGCGCAGTGCCCTCATTGTGTGCGGAATATTTCAAGTTTGGTTAGTCCTCAAGCTGAGTTACAATGTAAGTTAGCCGCCAGCTCAAATTGGAGGCTGTGTAACAATTTGGTTTCGAACAGGAAGCCATCGAATTCAAAATGACGAATGCGGTTTGCGAGAGCTACAACAAATCGTGGATGGACATACACAAATGTCGCCTTCGAGCTGTAAGCCGCAATAAGACGACATTTAATTTTAATGGAACCGTCCTGCATCCTGCATACAATATTGGCGTGCGGGGCGAACTCTTTTTGAAGGCCAATGGCTACAAGCCATGGCTAGCAAATGTGACCATCAATGTCTGCCGGTTTATAAAGAAACCTTACAATCCAATTGCAATAATTGTTTTTAAGCTTTTTAGAGAATTCACCAACTTTAATCACACGTGTCCCTATCTGGTAAGCATTCAACTGTAATTGTCATTTGGCTCAAGGCTCAATTTCCCTGACATCAGGGCCCACAGATCGTTGATGGGTTCTATCTCAGATGGAAGTCGTTGCCGCATGCCATACCAACTGGTGATTATCTCTTGGCCTTAACCTGGATGTTTGATGGCAGACGACAATTTTCGACAAATGTTTACTTTAGCTTCAAAGAGGATTTGTAAGCGAATCCTTAAAGCCAACCAGGGTCCATATACATAGATGTTCAAGCTATCGTACAATAAATACAAATAATATTTATCGAAACGAACAAAACAATATGATATGTAATGCGATTTAACAAATTGCTCTTTCAGGCGTACACAATAATTAAGTACTTTTTAATACAAACCATGATTTATTAACTCAAGCGAATAGATCATTTAGTATGCGCTTTGCGAGAGCTACAACAAATCGTGGATTGTCATACACAAATGTCGGTTGCATGCCATTAGCCGAAACAAGACGACTTTTAATTTAAATCTAAGAGTCCTTTATTCCGCATATAAAACAGACGTGCAATTGCGACTCTTTCAGAAAGCCATGGCTCTTTAAGGTATTTAAGTATCCAATTTCGCCCGCAAGCTTATTTTTAAACCTCTGAGCCAGCTTTCGAATCACTCGTGTCCCTATGTGGCAAGTATCAAGCTATATCTTTTAGCTATATTGCCTTTTATCGCTTTAGGGTCCACAAATTGTTGATGGGTCTTACCTTAAATGGAAGTATTTACCTCATGCCCCACAGATTTTTGGCCATCTGTTGTCAATGAGCACCTCCATGTGGAATATACAATTATTTATTTATTTATTATTTAGAAAGTTATTTATTTAGAAACAACATCCATGTACGTTCCGGCTATTCGTACTATTTTAGTTAATTTAATGTGTTATTGTGAACAGGTTTTCGATTTCGACTTTTGACTATGCTACGCAATGAGAATTTGATTGGTAAATCGATTTAACAAATTACTTTTGCAGACTCTTCACAAATGTAAATTATTTTTTAATTGAAACAATTTATTGATGTACCCAGGCGAAGAGACCAATTGATATAAAATTTGTGGATTTCTGGAATGCTTCGAAGTCATTTCAGTATTGTGGTCATGCACATTCCTCTCAAAGTTATCGGATTATTGCCAATTTGGTTGTTCGTGAGTTACAATGTAAGTTGGCCTGAGGATAATGCCTGACATACAGAATAAATACAATTATCGACTGCAGGAGGCTATCGAATTCAAGTTCACAAATGCGGTTTGCGAGAGCTACAACAAATCGTGGATGGTCATACATGAATGTCGCCTTCGAGCTGTGAGCCGCAATAAGACGACATTCAATTTTAATGGAACCGTCCTACATCCTGCAAACGATATTCACGTTCGATTCGAACTCTTTGTGAAGGCGAGTGGCTACAAGCCATGGCTAGTTAATATTACCGTTGATGGCTGTCGTTTTATTAAAAAACGGTTCAATGCATTCGCAATGCTGGCTTATAAGCTATTGGCCGAGTTTTCTAACTTTAATCATTCATGTCCCTATTTGGTAACTATCAAAGAACACCTTGACATATCTGCCGAACATATTTTTATTTGCATCCTCTCATTTAAGGGCCCCCAAATTGTTCAGGGGTTTTATCCAAAATTGAACTACTTGCCGCATGCTTTCCCAACTGGTGACTATCTACTGAAAATATTTTGGCTATTTGATAAAAGACCACAATTTAAAACTGATCTTTACTATACCTTCAAGGAGGATTTAAACTCAACAGGCTAAGACTTTTGAAACTGTATAATGTGGGGTATAAATAAACACACATTTGATTCTATTATTATTACTAAGTTCTTTGGCCAAGAGAAAGCCACATCGATAAACTTGTCTGGGATTCAAGCTCGGTTAATCGAAAGATGAATTTAATTTATAATTAAATTTTTAATTTCGATTTCGATTTTTTACTGTGTTAACCAATGCGTATGATATGAGTAAATCGATTTAACCATTTACTTTTTCAGACAACATAAAATTTTACTTAACAAGACAACATAAAATTTTAATGGAACCCTGACCTATATCCAATTTTCCCTATTTCATACTTCTGACATACATTTATCTCGATTGCACAAATGCAAATGTAAAGGGCCGTGTTTGTTATTGCTGTTAATTAACATGCTTGTTTACAGCTTAAAAGCCTAGCTCAGCTCTCTTCGCTGTTAAGCTGCTGTTCCAAGCGCTGTTATCGCTACTCTCTCGCTCTCTCTCTCTCTGTCCATCTCTCTTTGTGCATGCTTTGACCAAGTAACTATAGCATGGTTCATTGAGTAATTAATTGTGGCGAGGCACAGATGTCTGCATTTATTTGTCGCGTCGGTACACACTTTTAAACTTATCCGAATTTAAAAGTCGAATCGAAGGTTTAATTATCCTATTTTAAGATGTTGTCGAAAACGAAAAAGTGTAAAATTCGTGCGGGCGTGTAAATTAAGATAAAGTGCCAAAAACGAAAAAGTGTGTAAAAATTGTACGGGCTGCGCGTAAAATAAAACGGATCGCGAAGAGGAAGAATTGAATTTGTGACAGCGACGCACAGGCAAAAGCAACAACAACCACAAGTAAGTAAGCATGCATAACTGTTTACCTGTTTTCGTTTTCTTTTGTTCTATTCGGTTAAGATAATTGCAGTAGCTGCAGAGCAAATGCCGTAGCTGAAAATAAACTGAGTTTGCTTTCTTCTAATTTACAATGTGTGTAAAGTATGAAGCTTAGAAGACCACAATACGCGTAATTTGTTTTATTTTTTGGCTAAACATGTTCGGACACAAACAACCGTTATTTATGTCAGATCTTTTTACCTGCCGATTGTTAATTTCTAATCTCCAGCACTTGTCATATTGAGCGAGCTGCGCTTTGCCAATCTCTCAATTGCTCAAACGTGCTGCCTGCATCATAGCACCGCTTGCTCTTGAGCCGCTGTTATTTTGCCTGCTCACTGCACTCTCCTTATCTCTCTTTGCAAATTTAACATTTACATTTTAAGTGTGCGTTAACATTCTGTGTAAGTTGGCAGCTCTGCAAACTGACAGATTTTAGTTCTATGCACATTTAATAGTTGCCATGTAAACAGTACTGCACCTGTCAGCTACAACACTTACAAATTATTGCATTACCTTTTTTTTCGCGGAGTGTACTGCTATCTAGATGTACACAGGGTTTATTCAACCTTTCTCGCATAACTTTCATTTTGAGAAATAGTTGTTGTTGCTGTTAAGCAAAAGCCTTTAACATTTTATGCGCGAGCTATAGCGTAAGCAGTGTGAGTGTGTGTGCTTGTGTGGGTGCTTGTGTGTGTGTGTGTGTGTGTGCTTGTCTGTGTGAGTGCAGTTTATCAAAGCAGGGCAGCGACCAGTTGCCAGTTGGCAGTTGCCAATGGCTGTCAGTTTCCATCTCAGTCAACATCCGAGTCCTGGCTACTGGCTTCTCTCTCTCTCTCTCTCTGTCTCTCTCTTTCTTTCTCTCTTTCACTATATACATATTTTTTTTATGTGCAAATCATGCTGCATCATTAAATCTGTTCGCTGTGTGAGGGATGCGGTTGCTGTTGCTGTTGCTGCTTTTTCCCGTTTCGCTTTTACATTTGCTTTCGTTTTTTGTGGCCCTGGTTCTGGTCCTTGTTCTGGTCCGGGCCGGCCCGAACTTCGCTTCAGTGGCTTTTCATTTCTATGCACAAGAATTTATGGCTTTCAACGTTGATTTTGTTTGGCATTTTTTATGTGTTTTTAAGTAGTCGTAAAGCGTAACACTTGATGAGATATTAAACGTTGTTTATGCGCGCCACACGCACACTTTAAAAGGGATGCTAAGCGAGGGATTCGGCTTATTTATTTAACCCAACCCACCCCCTACCCATACTCACACACACACACACACACACATTGTTGCACTTTGTTTGATTTGATGGGCTTTTAAATATTGGTTTTGCATTTTTCATTATTGCCGCGATGCGAGGGCTTTTTTATGGACGTTTAATAGAATTGATGGACGCATAAAAGCAGCAGCAGCTAAAATCCTGATATCCTACCAGCATGTTAATCATTAGCTAAGCGAGTGAATGACACCTGCCACAAATGTCAGACACGGGCATAAAGAGACCACAAAGCCACTGCGACCAAGAAGAAACGCTTGTGTGTGTGTGTGTGTGTGTGTGCTTGTGGCAAGGACCTTGTCAGTGTCTGCAAACTTGTCAATGAGTACCAACTAAATATTTTATTAGGCTGTCGACAAACAGCACACAGGGCATAAACGTCTGTGTGTGTGTGTGTGTAGTCGTGATTGCGTGAAATTTAGTAGTGTTTGGCGCCATGTGTGTTTGTATGTGTGTATGTGTGTTTCTGTGTGAATGATGTGAGCCGGAGCAAAACGCCTCAGACATGTACCTCCTGATGCGACTCATCATCATCATGTTGAATCTGATGATGATGATGATGATGATGAGGATGATGATGATGAAGCTGTGGCAGAGGCTACAAGAAGGCGCCTGATGAAGTTGCCTGCCAGTCGGCTCTGGGGAATTTGGCGACGTTGTCGGCAAAGTTGTTGACTCTCACTGTGTGTGTGTGTGTGTGTGTGTGTCTTGGCCTCCTCACAATTGGCCGTACGTGTGCAACATTTTTAAGTAGCTTTTCTTTCCGTGTTTGCCAAGCTCCTCTGCCTCAAGTCTGTTTGTTTTATGGCAGCGTTTGTTCTAACTTGGCTCGACAGCATATGAGCCAAATACTCTGTGTGTGGAAACATATGTTTTCAATTTGCCAGCAAATGGAAAAACTTGATTGAATTCCATGAAATGAAGATCGATGCGCCGACTGGCTTTAACTAGCCGCGCCTGGTCGGCAAACCAGCTTTAAGCCGAGGTCGTCCTCGTCGACGCCGTGCAAAACTATGCAAAGTTTGTCATCAGTCAAAGTCGTTGCCGGGCACAAGTTCAGCTCCCCAAAGAGTCGCACAAATTACATTTGCGGCGTCTGCAGCACAGCGGGCACTCACACACACACACACACACACACACACGACAGCCCGCCCGCCCTGTGGCAGCCACATCAATCATACGCACCGTGTTGCGCCTGGAACGCGACTTTTGCATTTGGCTCCATGATGCATGCAACGCTTGGGAATTGTCCTCAAGCGTTGGCCATTTGCTGAATGCGTCGCCTAATTGCAAGTCACATTATTTTGAGCAGTCTTCACGCTCCTCGCTAATTGAAGGACAGCAGAGAGGCATGGGCCACGAGCCAGTCACTCACTTGCTGCAAATTAAAATAAATTGTGAAATTAAATGCAAAACTTTTACTTTTGCTAGACAAACAGGCAGGCAGCCAGTGCGAGAGGTAGGACACAGAGGTGAACGGGAGGGACGCATACGAGCTGTACATATGGGCGTGGCTCTTCTTACAATTTCGCAACTTGTTTGTCTGTGCTTAGAGCTGGGCACGTAGCTGGCTCTGTGAAGCGCCAAACTTAAACGGGTTCTGATCTGATTTCGTGCATGCTCGTGCCTATTCGTGCTCAAATTAGCAATACAAAAGCGAACAACACGATTAAGCAAGTCAGAACACAATGAAACACTACGCTCGACCAGACTTAGCTAAACAAGACTAGCTACTGCTAAACACGAGTAAATGTGACCAAATGCGACATTAAGTGGCTTCTCGTATACTTCTTTTTATGACTAAATGCGATCAAGCATTCAGTTGAGTACGAAAATACAAGGTCTTGATATGACTTAGTAGAACCCTAACAGACCCTTAAAAACGATTTAGCTAACACGACTCAATGCAAGAAAACATTAAGCACGACTTACCTAGACTTCAGGCATACCTTACGACTTGGCATAGCACGAGGTCTTATGATATAACAATTGACACGACCTGAGCACTGCATGAATCTGGGCACGAGTTAACACGACCAAACACGAGGTAACAGTCCAATTAACACGACTTACAAGGCCTCACACACACACTAGAAGTTCTTAAGAACGACCTAGTCGGATTAAAGCAGGCCTTTCGGCGCAATTGAGCACGAGGTTACACGACAAAACACGAATAAATACAACCTAGCACGAGGTAACACGCCTAATCAATGAACACGACCTAACTAGACTCTGGGCATGAATCTAAGCTCAAACTCTTGCCAGTAAGTACGATCTGGCACAACCAAACAGGTTCTCTGATTGTTGTGTCTAGTTGCCTAGCATCGTATACATATCGTATAATGTTAACATTGTCACGGGCTCATCTCCAGTCTGTTTAGGAATTCAAATGCTGTCGCCTACATGACAGCCATACTCCACGCTATTTGCCTTGTCTCACAAGCATTGTACAAGCAATGAATGTGTGTGTGTGCGTGCTGGTGTGTGTGTGTGTGTGTGTCCTTTGGCTGACATTCATTTGAAATTCGCACAGCGTAATGATGACTTGGAGCTGCTGTTGGAGCTGCTCAACTTTTTGCATATTACGCACTTGGTCACGTACATTTCGCATATTTATTTGCATAAGCTTTGGAAATTCGCAGCTCCGGCTTGGCAAGGGAATTAGCTCAATTAGAATGTCGCTGTTGCTGCCATATGCAAACAATATATATAGTTATATATGTATATATATGTATTATATGCCGTATACCCTGTAATATGCTTAAGTATGCAGCTTTGATAAACGCGCTGCCTGATAACAATTTAGAGCGAACAAAGGCAATTTGCCGGACACGGTAAATTGGGCAATGGGCGGCAGGTTGTGAATTATGGCCAGCACTTATGAATTTTTGAGCGCTTTTTATTATTTATGCGGCATTTCATTTTGTTGTTGTTGCCGTTAGTTGTTGTTGTCGCCCAAGTTCAATGGCTGCGCTCGCTGCCCCAAAAAGCAGGCAACACAATTTTTCATTTCGCATGTTGCGACGCTAAGTGCTTCCTGCGCCGCCAGGCACCCCTCTCCACTCCTGGTCCAGCAGGTGGTTGTGGCACATCAACTTTTGCTGCCACGCCATAATATTAATTGCGCCTTGCTACTTGCCGTGGCCAAATAAAAAGGCGACGCCGACGTCCACTTAAATGCCATTATACATTTTTATATATTTGTGTGTGCGTGTGTGTGTGTGTGTATGTGCTGGCCTTAACAATTTATAATTATTCAGTACGCGCTTTTGCCCCGCATAATCGCCTTTGTGGCCATGTCCTGTGCAGCCTGCAGCTATTTGGGCAGTTATTAAAGCCGCTTTCAAGCCGCCTCCCCGACCCCAAAAAGACGCACGACTCGCAGCTATTTGCATAGCTTTACGCTTGTTGCTGTTATTACTTTTTGCAACAGCTGCGCCCAGCTTTGCCAATCAATGCGAAAGACGCACACACATGTGCCGCAATCGCAGTCTCGTTGTTTGCCATTGTCAGCAACTGCCTCAGCTTTCAGCTGCTATCGCTGCCTCGTACCTTGTGTGCCTGGTGTCCCCGTGTCGCTTCTGCATCAAATGACAAATAGTCTCATTCGTCTCGGGATGCGCCGGCAAGCTGTATAGTAACAGTTAGACGGCAGTTCTTTCCAACACAACAATCATTATCATTGTCTAC